CTTCTTGAAAACCTCCAGTGAAAAAGGTTGATGCATGGTCAAACAGCCAAACAAAATTGTATTACTCCATGCAAATTTGTTGAGAACTGACAGCACCACAACAGTCTAAGCACAATTACAGCTCACCTCTGTCGTTCTTTCCACACTAGGACATGAACTTCCTAAGAGACCTGTCTGTCTTAATCTCTTTCTTGCTTGCTTGCTTCCCTGCTTGCTTGCTTTTGCTCTAATATTTCAATCTCCTCTTCAAATTCCCCTGGAGATCCTTTTTAAGCTTTTTTTTTAAAGGATTGCATTCTGTACCAGCAATATGTTCTATACTTATACAGGTTTCCCTCGTTTTATGTGGGTTCTGTATGTGCAAATTTGCTCTTATGCAATGACCCTTTTTATACCAAAAACTCATTATATGAGAGGTAAATTCACTCTTATGCGATTGGTGTGGTGGAAGTCCACAGTCAGCTGCTTTGTGCAGTGCATTGTGGGAGTGACGCACACCAAAATATAGTCTCCTGTGTGGATCTGTGCTCCTCGCTCGTTGTCTGCAACACGTGTTTCTGTAGTTGCCACCCCCACTATGATAGTGCCCTGTGCTTGTGTGTACTGTCTGCTGTTGGTGAGTACCAAAATTATCTTGTAAAAGTGGTAGAAATGGGTCTGGGGGTCAGTACAGTTGAGGTCTTGGAACGTATGCCTATTTGTTACATTGTAAAGGGGGTTCCCTTTATGTGAATTTGAGTTACGCACTGTTTTCTAGGCGTGCATATACAGCATAAAGTGAGTGAAACCTGTATATTCATATTCTAGATAATTCTTTTTTTCTAATCTCTGTCTGCCCCATCTGTAAATATTGTACAGATGATAATGAAAAATTGTAAGAATTTTTTTCTTTATCAGATTTTTGTTCAAGTCTGTTAGGAGTGTATTTGTTTAAGGGTTTTAGGGTTGTACCTTATTATTCTACAGGCATCTGTTTTATCTCCTTAGCATGTCTTACATGTCAAATATTTCATATATTTATGAGGAAGCAAAGCTTTTCTTGGTGCTTAAATGAGCACCAAGAAAATTAGGCAAGGGCCAGCTATACTCGTGTATGTGTGCTTTAAAGTTTTTGAAAGGTGGCCACAGAGCTCCAGAATGGTGCCTGTGCATTGTGGTACTATTTGGAAGCACTTGCCTTCTGGTTACATCAGCACAAGTCTGTGGAGCAGGATAGGGGACCCATAGGTCCTCCAGAATCCCACAGTGCTTTACTTCCCACCCCCTTTCCTTGGGGAAGGGAGAGAGAGAGTGTAAGGTGGAGAATATACCATGCTGAAAGGCAGCCTGCCCCTTGACCCCACCATTGAGTCCTTGCACCCTGGCTACTGCTGCCCCCATCTTTCCTTTAATGGGAGGAGTAGCACCAAGCATGATCTGGGCACTTGCGGCACAGCTGCTCTGGGCGCTTAGGACACTGGTAGGGCCCTGCTGTTGCCAGGAGTCCCTGCACTCCCCTTTCTGGCAAGTACTATGAGACCACTATGTTCTTCTGCTGCTGCAAGACCCATGTACCCCCACCACCCTGTGCCATTGCTGCGAGGCCCCCATGCCTCCACTTCTGGATCCAGGATTTTGGCTCTACAGCCCCCAATTCCTGCATATCTTTCCACTGTGAAGGTATTGGGGGGGGCACAAGAAGAACAGAAGCTGAGCAGCCATAGAGCACTTACTTAGATCGGCTCTGCTGCCCTGCATCCCTTCCCATGGGGAGGGGGACTGGAGCCATAGCTGTGTGAGATGGGGCCTACAGAGCAGAACTGACAGTCCACTCTATTCCCCATTCCCATGGAGCTGAACTGCAGTTTGTTACTTCTCCTTGTTACTCTGAGCTGAAGAGCCTGCGGCATGCAGCCACTGCATTTTGAAACACTCTAGCTAGGGAAGAAGCCAGGGGCTATATGTGTGTTTAGGGGCTGAAATGGCCCATTTTTTAAACTTTTCCAAACCTGTTACACTTGGAAACATTTCAGATATTATGTCTGTTTCCACCCTAAGAAAAGCTTAGCAAAATTTTCAAAGATTAGCACTTTTTAACTGGAAAAATCCTTTTCATAATACCATATTTACCTGAATCCAGAGGACTCTGAATTTAAAATATCCCCCACCCACCCCAATAGATTCATAGATTCATAGACATTAGGGCTTGAAGGGACCTTGGGAGATCATTGCGTCCAGCCCCCCGCCCCAGGGGCAGGAAGTCAGCTGGGGCCACAGGATCCCAGCAAGATAAACATCCAAATTTCTCTTGAAGGTGTTCAAAGTAGGTGCTTGAACCACCTCTGGTGGCAGTCTATTCCAGACCTTGGGGGCTTGAACAGTAAAGAAGTTCTTCCTTATGTCCAGCCTGAAACGGTCATGGAGGAGTTCATGACCGTTTGATCTTGGCATCCCTTGGGGCACTCTGGTGAAGAGACGTTCCCCCAGATCCTGGTGAGCACCCCTGATAAACTTATAGGTGGCCACCAGAGCACCCCTGAGCCTGCGCTTTTCCAGGCTGAAGAGTCCCCCAATAATTAAATTATAACATGGAAAATATATACATTAAATAAAATGTCCATGTACAGAATCTAATTATTGTCCGATTGTCTTAAAGTGAGGAGACAGACAATGAGGGGAGAAGTAAGGGGGCAGGTGGTGAGGCTGGTGGTCTCACCGCCCCCCCCCCCCCCCCCCCGGCGGAA